CAGACTTACTGAACAGCCTCAAGACATCATCTAAACTCCACTCTCAAGACATAGAGCCCTTCCTATGGGAGCTTAGTGCTAGTCTTGTGGAGATGGGTCGAAGAGACTCCTTAACTGTACAAGATGCGAACAATTTGACAGTTTTATTGGAATGGTTAACTTCCCGGTTCAAAGATATGAGTTTACCTGATATTTCATACGGCTCTTTCCAGAAATTACAAGCTCTAGTTCACAAGACAATAGGGACACGAGCAAATAATTTAGAGGCTATAGGAATGGAAATACGCTTTGGTGACGATGAAATGTCAGAAGCGGATGCTCCAGTCGTGTACCAGATCGTTCGAAACCCTTTATTCGCTCCACAGCTGGCGGTTATACAGGAGAGCCATGGAGAACTGCGAACACCACCGAAATATCCCCCACATCCTGCTCTTGGATTGGTCACCACTTCACCTCCCACCACCGTTATCAAATTCCCAGCAGGTACGAGCTTGACAAAAACTTATAATAACAATGATTTCCGCCAACCGCGTAGTACCGCCTCAGTCTGGCACAACACTAGTCGACCACCTAGTACTCATGTTGATGTGATTAGTCTTTTATATGCATATTATCCAACTGACTTGATTTTCAGGAGTTCGTCACCACTTCGTCACCGCTCGGTACGCGCTCGGTAACATCACAGGCGTCAGCGCACAGTTCCCCAACTATTCCTCATGTCCCACCCACTTCCTTCATTCCGGGTCTTCAGTAATTTTTTTTTGTAATTTCTCGCTGTAACATAGCAAGGTTACCATTGCCCATACCCGAGTGTGGCGAATTGAATTGCTCATAAGCTAAACTTTTCCTTCGACCCACCCATGGACATTTCTCGACCCGTCTCTACTTCTGTTGCATCTGTTTCCTTCTCTTTTCTAAGCACCGATGATGTTCGTCGAATTTCTGTCAAACAAATCGTCAATCCAGTTTTGCTTGATAATTTAAATCAACCAAACATCGGTGGTCTCTATGATCCTGCACTCGGCCCCTCTTCAAGCCGAGAAGTGTACGCAAAAGATTCACAATCTGATTTCCTTTGCTGACCAACTATCTATAGTTGTGCGACATGTCGGCTTGACTATTTTCAATGTCCTGGCCACTTTGGACATATTGAACTTCCAGCACCAGTTTTTCACCCATTATTCATGATGACGGCCTATAAATTGCTAAGGAGCACGTGTTTGTACTGTCATCACTTTAAAGTTAGCCATGTACAGGTATATATCAACTTCATAAGGGAGAATAGGTAACTAACCCGCA